ATCTGCAGCTTCCCCAGCTCGGCCTCCTGGAGCCGCTTGGCCTTGGCGCGGCGGTTCTGGAACCAGATCTTCACCTGGGTCTCGGTGAGGCTGAGCGAGCTGGAGAACTCGGCGCGCTCAGCGATGGACAGGTACTGCTTCTGCCGAAATTTCCTCTCGAGGGCCAGGAGCTGCGCCGTGGTGAAGGGCGTCCGGGGCTTCCTGTTGGTCTTGTGCTTGCGCAGGGTACAGGCGGGGGGGCTCAGCCGCCCTGCCCCGAGGAGCAGCCGGGGGAGAGGGGGAAGGAGAGACACCTCGGTTAGCAGCGCCCCAACCCACACGCCTCGCGGAGCCCCCACCCTACAGCAGCTGCGGTGGAGAGAAAGGGGAGATAGTAAGGTCCGGCTCTAACTGAGGTGGCCCAAAACCTCCAGGGCTGCCCCGGGCACGCTCCAAATTGATGTCTCCCGTTCCAGTAAAGAAAGTGGGCGCTTTAAGAAGGAATTGGGTTTTTCAAGACTCCCAGGACCGAAGTTACTCGCAGTGCTTCGCAGCGAGAACCTCTCCGACTCCATGGAAAAACTCGACAAAGAGTCCGACACCCACACACCCTCCACCTCCTGCTTTCGCGCTCCCGACTCATATAGAGGAGACGTAAATGTAGGGAGTGACCCTCCAAAAAAAAAAAAAAAAGGGTCCTGTCCTTTCTATTGGATTAAGGAAAAAAATAAACAAAACGGGCTGGCTTCTCAGACTCACACCCTCTTCATTAGGCCCCTGGGAACCGGATTAAGCATGTAATTAATTACGGGCTCTGAATTCACACTCAGCCTCTATCTACCGCTTTTCACCGGTCTGCTCCTTTCTTCTTATTTAACATTTCTAAGGGTCCTCAGCCTCGATCTGCCCCGGGTTTACTTAGCAGCAACAACAACTTTTACTTTGCAATTTAAATAAACTAAACCACTGCGATATTCTACACGAGTCCTGTCGTGAAACCTGCCTTTCTCCAAGGCAGAGGGAAAGCAGCTCTGCTCGCAGCACCCCAAACGCTCCGGAGAGCCTCAGCCCAAGCGCGCCCCTTTCCACGGGAGTCCAGGCGGGATCCGGCCCTGGGCTCAGCGCAGCCGCTGGAGGGGATTAAGGGGCTCTTCTGATCTCGGCCCTCCCGCTGCTATTTTTATTATTTTAGATGTCTCCGTAGTAAAGCAGGAATACATCAGTAATTGCAGCTTTGCGGGCTTTGGAGAGGCAACACTTGAGACAGCAGCCGGTGGAGCTGAAGCCCGCAAAGCCTGGAAGCACCTCGCCTGGGAGCCCGCACTGTGCGGGTCCTTAGGACATTATTTGAGCCACTTTCGCAGAAAACACCGCTGAGGCCGCGTCAGGCTTTGCGCGGCCGGTTCCAGGTTAAGCTAACAGGCAGGCCGGGCTGCTGTCCCCCCAACCCGGTTAACATTTGGCACAAGATCTCGCCCTGGCGCGGCTTCTCTTCCTTCACTTTCGCAGCCACGCCCCGGCTTCGCACACGCTCGAACCGGTTCGGCATTTTGAACAGGCCGAAGAGGCCCAGCAGAGAGTGCGAACAGCAGGGAAAGACGTGCCAGGAGGGGCCAGGCTGGGTAAAAGCAAGAGGAAAGCCCCGGCCGCCCCCGCAGCGCTGCCCCGGTCCCGGGGGGTTCCCAGCCCGCCCGCTCCCGGACCCTACTTACTCGGGGGAGGCGGCGAGAACCGTGGGCTTTGCATCCAGGGGCTCCGCTCCTGCTTCTCGGGGCTTTCCGCCTTGACCAGGGCGTCTTCGGGCAGCTTGACCAGCCCCCCGA